CCCCCCCCCCCCCCCCGGTGTCGCACTTGGGTTCTGTTGATGAATGATTCCCCCACCCCCCCAGTTGCAAAACGCCAACAACGTCAAGACGATCCGACTAAGCGACTTCGATCCCAATGAGCTGGCACAGCTCAACTCAACCATCCAGCTAGACTGGATGCTGTACGAAGCTGTCCGCGCCACGCACCAACCGGTTCAGGTGTAACCGTTGTGACGGTTCAGGTGTAATCGTTGTGACGGTTGGCTCGTAACCGCCCGGTAGTTTATTCTCTTGATAATAGAGAAAGGTTGGCAGCGCTGGGTACGACAACGTCGCCGGTCGAGGAACGCTGCTGGCGCTGTGGTGGTGGTAAATTTTACTTTGGCAAGCTGATCAGCCTTGGTGGTTTGCTGGGGTGCTACGGCTGTGCGGTCAGATGTTTCTTGTAGATTGTGTTACTGGCGCTTGGACGCGCTGTTTGTGGGTTTGTCGCTCACGCTAATAAGCTAAGCGTCGCTAGACGTCTTAGACAATGGTGTTACGTTTGGACGTGCGACCGGTGTCTGCGCGAAAGCAAGCGGTCCATCAACGACTCGCATTGAGGATGTCCGTCTGGAACTGCTGTATTTACGAAAGATTGACAATGGATGTCGGTAGCGTGTCCGGTGCTTTTTTTTGCTCTTTTTGTCTCTCCCGTTTTCTGCATTGTAGGACGTCGTGCGAAACGACTTGAAGCTGGCGTGGCGGCTCTCGCAGCATCGGAATACGACTAGTCGTGCTGTTACTGACTACCATGCCGTTGCTGTTGTGTCAAGTGTGGTCGATGGTGAGAGGTCGAGTCTTGATCTCTGACAAGCAGTGGCAAGTTTAAGTCCTCCAGGGCGAAACCCACTTGCCTGTGGATGATGTAACAGTAGCGGTGCATTACTTTGTGACGACACCAACACAATCCCTTTCATACCTCCTCAATTTGTTTCCTAGATTTTTTATTTTCCTCTGATCAGGTGCTTCTTTAGTCTAGGGATATATAAACCCTTCAGGGTTTGCTACAGAGGCTGATCGGCGATATTTGGACAGTACTTGGTATTTTACTATTTTTTTTTGTCAAATTGTGGCGTGCTCTACTTGGGGGGTGAGTTCGATGGCGACCTATTTGTGTAGAAAAATTGATATTTGGATAAAAATTTCTGTGGAATCGGAATGTCTACGTCTTCGTTCCCTGTTGTACGCATCGGCACACCACCTTATCTTGTGTCGGCGACAAACTCATCCGATTAGAGGTGGGGGGGGGGGGGGGGGGGGGGTGACCTTGACTTGCCTTCATGCACCTGTGTTAAATTTCCACCGCCGATGACCGCCATGAGCAGGCGTGATGGCAGTGGGGGCAAGACACACCAACAGTCCCACCTCCCCTCCGGGCCAACAATATCTACTGTTCTGTACAACCGCTGTGTCTGCAGAGGGTATGGCATGACCACAGAAACCAGCAACCCTCCACGCGACCAAGTACCACCTGCTGCCGCTGTTCCCAAAGACAAAAAAATACATCAAGGCAACCAACCAACCGCAGCCCAACCCGGGCCAGGGCGGCGGGCTGAGGGGAAAGACTTTTTTTCTTCATCGCTTTAAACTAGCACTCACAGCTCACAGCATTTCTTTCGGGTAGAAGGAGCTAGCTCCAATCCGTGGTCGCCAGTCACACCAAAGGGTTCCTGCCTCTAAGGCCCCCTATCCTACCATCCCTATTGTTTTTACTATAAAAAAACAACTTTAATCACTGCAAAATCAGCGTTCACAGCTCGCAGCATTTCTGCCGGGTAGCAGGAGCTTTAATAGCTCCGTGGTCGTCAGTCACACAAAAGAAAGGAGTCGGGGGGTTTACTGTAATATATGCACAGTATGTATACCTGAAGTCTCCCACTCGGCTGGTGTGGCCCCCGTGGATGAAGAGCAGCTCCGGCGGGCCGTCCTCCGCGTCTTCCGGGCTCTGCTCCTCCCCGATGCGGCTCAGGCTCCACACCTTGACTCGTCTGTCCGCGCTGCACGACCCCAGGATAGTCTCGTCGAACGACGCCCATTGAACCCCCAGCACCTGTTTGGCAAGCAGGGGGCCGGGGGGGGGCGGGGAGTACTCAAGGAAACGCATGCCGTAGTCGTTGGACCATTGACCTCGCACCCCAATAAGGCCGGGCCGGAGCGAGATGCCGGGCTAGCGCCGGCCCAGGCTTACGGAGGGGTGGCGTGATTCGTTCGCCCACGCAGCGCTGACTCTCATGTCGCATCTCTCCCCGCGCGAAAAGCAGAGGCGCTACGCTACTGTACGTACCATCCAACCTATTAACACCTGGTACTATTCCGCTTTCGGCTGGCAAAATCAGCCACAAAAACAGTCTTCACCCAAAAGCCAACACGTTCTTCTGGCAAAGCAGCCACAAAAAAAAAAGTCTCTTCTTCGCCCCCGACAGCCTGCTCTATCGTAGCAGTAGGCAGCGCGTGTTTCAACCACAACGCCTCCACCCTACCTCTCCGTCTCCGGCCTCGCTGCCGTGTCTCTCCAGCAGGTGCATCGGCTTGCCCATGTTCCGCATGTCCCACAACGCCACGGTGGTGTTCG